TCATGTATCGCCAAGGATACACGTGACCCTCGTATACGAACGAATCCATTTAATCAATAGATCGCCGGGAAATGGCGGGCACCTCCTACTAACTGCTATCTCTCGGCTTTTCCCCTCCATGATAACGTCCTGCCTGCCACGTGCGCGTGACGTGCTTATTATGGTATATTCTCACCACTTGCTTCCGCGGAATATATCCATATAGGTGGATGTATATGTATATGTACTTATATCTGGGAGGAGAGTTGTGTACCCGTGTTCTCCTTGCCTTTGGGACTTGTGTGGTATTTTGTACATACCGTAAGTTCACGCGTGGGTGTGTATTTTATTTATACTCATGTACAATCATGATGTCGGGGACGTCGCCCAAGGGGGGTAGAAACAGTACACCAACAATCGTGTATAGTCGGACAAACGCAAAGGTACGTTGCGACAAAGATCGTTGGGCTAATTTCCCAAAAATTTCAGTCGCAATGTACAACGAAACTTGCAATAATCTCGCAAGTTGTAGGGTACGTATTAATTCATGCGCGCAAGCTTACAATTGTGTCACGTGCTCAACCGAGTATACACAGAGTGGCCGGATCCCCGTGTGACACAGAAGACCGCAGGGGAATATATACGCGCAGGTAGATGGGGAACCCCACAAGGTGTAAGGGCCGATATAATAAGCGAGTCGCATGTCACTGGGAAAAGACTCTCTCTCTCTCCCTCTCGATGAAATTACGTCCAGATAGAGAGTGCGCGCGTGTGTGTACACGGCTCACCTCCACACCGTCGGGCTGAGCTCGCACCCACGCCGCATCGAGATATTAAAATTGCAGCTGAGAACTCCAATCTCTAGTCGCGCCAGGATCAAAATCCCGCGTACTCCGGAATGACGACGCGTTTGCACATATTACACGCGGATGCGAGAATGCGATGATAATCAAGGCTGCTTCTGTTACCTGACATATATGTATATGTACATACATAGGTATGGAGGCTTCGAGTTACTGTGCACCATGAACCTATACCCGTGCGCTGCAGCCTTGGCAGAAGCGCCTCGAGCAACCAATGCTCTGTCTGCATGCGCTTCCTCGTCGTACACTTACGTAGGCATCGTGGTAAGTGCTTACCCCCTGTAACTTTCTTACGTGTTGGGGGAGTGGAGGGGTTTGGAAAAGCTCGGTGCTCTTCGGGGGGGGGGGGGTGAAATCACGAGGAGTTTTACCGTGTTGATGATTGTTGGCGGAGTCGATGGCTTTACTCCGCGTATACAGGGCTTGTAATTTACTTTGTACAAATACTGGAAAATGTTCCTTCTCGATGCTTTTCAAGCAAAAGTATCGACTTTCAACTTACTCGCGAGAAAGTACGAAAAGGGGAAAAAAAAAATTCCTTCAAAGATGGGGCTCTAAAATGGTTCAGCAGCCGAGAAAAAGTGCTCGGCGTTGCAAATTCAACTTTTCCGGGGAACGTCCGCGTGGAGGAGTGGTGTTTTTACTTTTCACCGGTAAAACGCTGCCGCTCGGACGTCTGTCAAACGACGTTACGTTACGTTACTTTGTTGTTGTAGCTCGCGAATTGTGAAAATAAAGTCCTTACATAAAACGATCGAGGCATGAGCGCGCGCTTTCCGCCACGCCGGGCTCGAATTCGAGCGAAGTAGCCGAGTTGTCATTGTTCCAACAGCTCGAGCGTACTTTTTTTCCCCAACGGCAGTTGCATTCAGCGATGAGAAGGACGTATTTTTAAAACGCTCAAACATACTTTTTAGAGCGAATAATTTTCCGTGCAGTTCTTTCTTTTTTCTTTTCTTCTTTTTTTTTTTTTTCCTCCAATTAGTGCGACGCGAAAGGAACGAAGACAACAAGGTATCATTTTGGAACGGATAATGATTTTGAAAATGATTGATCCAAACTCAAGGGGAAGATCTAAAGTTTTGGGAAACCAAAAATGGTATAGCGGATACTGTGATCTCCAGTAAAGTTGGGGCGTCATATTTGCACGATTTTTGCATAGACAAATATACACGAGACGAGCACTTCTCACGTACCATGAGAAAAAATTAAAAAAAAAAAAAAAAAACTTGAACCAGAAGCTAACTTCGGTTACAATACGTTATTCAAAACTTGGTATAAAGCCCATGTACTCTTTTGCTCTCTATTTCACAAGCCATCAAATTTGTATTCTTTGAAATTCACGACGAGCAGCTTTTATCGAAAAAAGGGGTTGGATTATTTATATGCTATAACGTACATTTCTTTTGACCTTGCAAAGGAAAAGAGTTCCTGTTCCCATTACGTGATTTTGATGCCGGGAAGTAGATGTCTCGAAAAATAAACATTGTATTATGTAATCCCATTCAAAGCAACCAACTCCTCTCCCGTTAGAAACGTACAAAGGTATAGCGCAGAAAAAGCGCGTTCAATCTCTCACCCACACAATAGCCCCCTTCGACCCTCCGGTATAACATAGGCCTCATCTGCCACACCGGAAGATTCAGACACACGCGTTCGCGACGAGGAAAGGCCCGTAGACAGGATTTTGACGCGTCAGCCCACGAACAAGTTTTAATTGGCTCCTGGTGCGCGCCGAACATCAGGGGACGATCGTCCCCCTTCCTTGGCCGCACAATAGTAGGAATGTACGAGTATGCTAATCGAGATACGGTGGGCGGTCGCAGCAGCAGAGAAGCCGCCGTCACCACCAACCTTGGAATCATATTCCCCCCAACCGCCTCCTCTCGAGATTCGACAAGTGCAATTAGCACGGCGCGAGAAGTGTGTTAACCTGATTCATCGTCCCCTTTCGTTTGCTTAAATTCTTCGTAACTAAATTGTTTGCATGTATGTACATGTATGTTGTTACGAAAAACGGTGCTGGCGTTTTCCTGAAATTTGGTTACTTCGGGTTTCATCGTCGAGCGATGCCTCTTGTGCAAAGTGCACACAAGTTATACTGGGAGCGGTGGATTCGCCGCGCGACTCTCTGGCTTGCACGAAGAGACTCGACTCCCTCCTCTGCTCCTATGCGTATTACGTGTACAGGGATTCGTTTGAGAGTTTCGCGGTGTGTTGCAATAGGTACGCTTGATACATCGGCAGACCGACAGACATCAAAGCCTACATCCATCAGCTACTGCCGTGCAATGTACTGCCGTACCGCGACTGTTGGGCTGGTTTTGGGTTCAGTTTTAGACATTGTATACACTTGATCTTACCATTGACAATGCTAATGGGGTCAATGAATGTACTTCAAATGCAAGAGTATTCGAATACATGTTCAAGGGAGCGTAGTTGAAAATGCTATTTTTTTTTTTTCTTCTTTTCTTAAATTCATCGTTGGTATTATATATATATATTGACGATTTCATTGATTTCGTGAAAGTTAATCATCGGTAGGACGCTCGCGTGCGTATTGTATCGGCGACGGAAATTTGGTGGAGCTATCGAACGTCGATCCATAATAGCAGTTTGAGTAAAATCAATAATGTCAATTCAATATTGTCGATTTCTCATAGTTACAGTGGGCTTGTGCAGTTCTAATGCTTTGTCAACAGAATCCTGTAAGTATAGCTCGTATGTTGGTTGAGTACGTGCATGCACGTATAGCTAGATAGTGCATGGATAGAGAGCTCTCTTGCGTAATATTCTTGTTACATCGTGTTTCGTTAATTAATCGCTTGGCCATTGGTGTAATTTACACAGGCAAAGCTCGATCGGATGGGAACGTACACGTGAAATGACGGCGTATTTTACAACCCGGTATATATATATATATATATATATATATATATATATATATAGGTCATAGGATTACCGAGCCTTCTGTAGTAAAATTGATGTCGGATTCACTTTACGAATGGATATCGCGTTTCACATTAGCTCGGTGCTTTGCCCATGCATCACATGCCACATGCATCATAAAATTCTATCGCCAGCCGAGAGCCAATGTTCCTCTTTATTTCGTTAACTCGAAGCTCGGGGGGGGGAAGGCATCGTTTTCTTCGTCAAACGTCCGGCGCGCGATTTCCCCGGTCGGACACGCTCTTCCAATGCATAAATTCGGGGCTTCCACAAATTTAATGCCACTAATGTATTGTCACTGCAATGCACCCACCGCACACATACATACGAGGGCAAAGGGGTGTTGTGTTCCAACAACCGCGACGAACAACATATACACGCCCACGCGAGCGCCGCTCGACCGAATTTCTAATTGTAGCGCGCCCGACGACCGATGAGTTCTCGATATTAATTAATTTTCGACGCTCGAACGAGTACAGCGACATCCCGTCGTCGCCTCTTGTATACCATACCTATATACGTACTCCCCAGCCGTGACCTACCGATGTAATTACTCGAGTGCTTGGTGCTTGCGTTTTATACATGTTGCGTTGTCCTCTCGTACTCATTGTGCTGAACCGTGGGGTACGCTTTATTGAAGTTAGATTGTACAATTTTATCATAGGTATACCCGAGTACTCGCATCGCAGAATCGCGGCAATATGAAAAAAAAAAAAAAATAAATAAATAAAATAATCAAACGTGCATGGACAATGAACCGGACAAGGGAAGGAATAGATATAACTGTCCTAATGCTACCGAAATGCGCGAATACACCGAGCCAGTCTTTCATCTCGTGGTGGAGGGATATACAGTCCTGTAGGAAAAAAAGGGAGGGTGGAAGGCCGTTCCTCTCTTTCTCTTGCGCTGTAGGCTCCAGTAGGTAGGATCATCATTTTCCGAATGGAAAAAGGAACGGCGAGACGGCAAAACAAATCGAAGAGTCCGGTCTCTTTGGTTGCCAAGGAAGATTTAGTGAGCAGGAAAGGAGGGAGCGGGAGGGTGAAAAGGGACCCGGTGTGCGGTGGGGTAGATAGAAGAGGAGCAGTGGAGTTCGACAGCAGCTGGTAGTGGTGGTTGGCCGAAAGTGGAATGGGACGAGAGAGAGAGAGAGGGGGGGGGGTTGGCTCTGCTCGTGGAAGATGCTTGAATAATTCAGGATGCACTCACCGACCACGTTGAGGGCGTAGCTGAGGTACATCTTGGGCTCGGTGCTGACCTGGCATTCGTAAACACCGGAGTCTCGCAGCTGTGGCGACTTGATCTGAAGGGTCCAATTTTCGGACTTGTCCGGGTGGTTGACCTGAAACCTCAGATCCGAGGTGTACATGTTCGTGCCGACGCTCAGAATGTGCATGTCCCTCTTTCTCATCCACGACACCTGCGAACCAATAAAACGGAATATCCGTTAGCTTAAGGTTAATCGGCGCCTGATTGCTTTGTTCGATTTGCGGTGGCTGTACGCGAACACTCCACCACCCACTCGAGGGGGTCGGCAGGGAGGAGATATTATCCTCGAGGCTACGGGGACATTGCTTCCCTCCTTTCCCATTGAATTTGCCCGAGAGAGCGGGGGACACAGCCGCTGCTGGACCACTGGCCTCCCCGTATAGCCCTCCCCCCAAGCCCAGCCGTTATATTAATGCGCTCTCTCGCGTCGACCGGCAGCCGGTCTGATGAAAGTAATGCCGCATCGAATGGAATTGAACGCCGTCGCTACTCGCGCGGATCGAACTCTGGAGGATGTATGGGCTCCTCTCTTTCTCTCCCTCTGTGTACGTGTGTTCTCTGCTCCCATTAGCTCTTGCGTTTCGCGATTACCCGCGCGCCTCGGGGCCGCATTAATTGGGAAAGTGCTCGTCCAATGACGATGGAAAATTTCACGGGCCTTTTAATACAAATTGGCCCGAAATGAGAATCGCGAGGAGGAAATGGTTCGTTTTTCCCGTACCCGTGCGCCGTTAGATGGAATTTCGGTGCCGGGTCTTTCTTGGAAACTGGGGTTGCGAAAAAACGTTGATTGACTGAAGTAAAAAAATACCTGCATCCAGGTTTTTTCCCAATGGCGCGGATTCCGATGGTGCCGCGATATTTTTTAATATAGTGCCGTCTATTCAGCGAGCTGTGAATGTTCTCTGTTCTGTTTTTTTTTTTTTTTTTTTTTTAATATCTGCAGTATTATTTTTTTTTTTTTTTTTTTTTCTACGAAATAACGTTCGTACGACGTGTTTCGGAACTGCGTTGCAGGTAAAGAAAGAAAAAAAAAAAAAAAAAAGATTGAAGCTACTGGCAAAAGGGCAGAAAGAAAAGAGCAGGAGTGAAAAAAAATGGATCGGAGGGGCGTCGACGATTGGATTTGCTCTGCTATAAGACCGTACGACAGTATATTCTGCGTAACTAAATTGGATTGGCAGTTTATTGGCAATATTCGTTTGCGTGGCGTAACGCCAGCTTTCCATGTTCAAGCTCGACCGACAAAAATCTCCTGATTCTGCGAACCTGTCCATCTTTCTCTCTCCCTCTCTCATGCTGCTCTGGCTCTATTCGTGAAAGCCCTTTCGTATAGTATAGTTCTCACGTAACTAACGGGGTGACATGGTTTTAAAGTCGTGAACCAAAATTAGAATAAAATAAAATAAAATAAAAATAAAAAATAAAGCAAAATAAAAACAGGGAAAAATCAACATCCCATGCACCCATCTCGCTTTTCTCTCTCGTTGTCTTCCACATTTCATTCAAAATAATTCATTTAGAAATAGATGTTACATCACTTATTGTGGTTTTATTTAACGACGTGGGATATTTTTGAGGCTGAGAATGTAGCAATGCGACACTGAAAACTTTCCTCGTACGCTGAACCATACTTATGAGTTCACAAATCGTTAGTGAGTTCATTGTTTTATGTGAATTTAATAGCGAGTTGTTTTCATACGAGTGTATTGAAGAGTAATAATACAAGTTTTTATAACTAGTTATTATTATTGTCAAACTTCATTTTAGTTTAATAGTATTGTTAATTTATGATAAAAAACAATTTTCACGATACGTCTGACTAAATTCAACTTATACTACTTAGTATATAACAAAATCTGTACTTGAAGTTTCTCAGATCAAGTCACTGTAATCAATTAATCAAATGTAATCTTAACTTTAATTTTAACTATTTTTGTGACACTCGACTTATACTACTTGAACTTAAAAAGGTACTTGAATGTGGTTACCACAACTAGCAAACAATTCTAATCACTTCAATTTCATTTTTAATTGAAGTCATAATAAAAAAAGTAAAACAACACTACCATGTAAATTTTACACGTACAGTAAGTCTGGCCAAATCCGATTTATACTACTAAGGCCACTAAAAATATAGAAGTTGTTTGAGCTATTATCTTTATCATTTATAACCTTTTAACTCTAATTTTGTATGAAAAATTACTCAAGTTGCACGCCTGACCAAACTCGATTTGTACTACTTAAAATGAAAATTAATGGTTAAAGGTCTAAAGTATTCTAATTTTGTAAATACGGTCGATTTTATAAGCCACATAAGGTAAGTATAATATTTATGGTTTTGGAGGTCAGTTTTCGGATTAAAGGTAGATTGTAAACTTGCCGTAGATAACACAAAAATTTAAACTTTTTATTGTCCTATGAAGTACGTCATGCACTGGTATCAGAGGTAGGGGAGTAACGGCCTATTTGTACTGAAAGTAGACCTCAACCGCTGTGATTTTAATCAGTNTGTCTGGCCAAATTGGATTTATACTACTTAAAACCATTACAAAATACCCGGGTTGTTTGGATCAAGCTATTATTCAGCTAATTATCTTTATAATGTAATACTTTTCTACTATAATTAGTGTGAAAAACTAGTTACATGGTATGGCTGACGAAACACGATTTTTACTACTCAAAATGAAAAAGCCATTGCAATGTAGTTACTACTACTAGTAAGAATTTGTAATAATTTCAATTCCGTTTTTAATTCAAGTAATAATGTAACAAAGTAAAGTAAAACTTGATACTCATATTATGTAAATTTTACACTTACTGTACATGTCTGGCCAAATTGGATTTATACTACTTAAAACCATTACAAAATACCCGGGTTGTTTGGATCAAGCTATTATTCAGCTAATTATCTTTATAATGTAATACTTTTCTACTATAATTAGTGTGAAAAACTAGTTACATGGTATGGCTGACGAAACACGATTTTTACTACTCAAAATGAAAAAGCCATTGCAATGTAGTTACTACTACTAGTAAGAATTTGTAATAATTTCAATTCCGTTTTTAATTCAAGTAATAATGTAACAAAGTAAAGTAAAACTTGATACTCATATTATGTAAATTTTACACTTACTGTACATGTCTGGCCAAATTGGATTTATACTACTTAAAACCATTACAAAATACCCGGGTTGTTTGGATCAAGCTATTATTCAGCTAATTATCTTTATAATGTAATACTTTTCTACTATAATTAGTGTGAAAAACTAGTTACATGGTATGGCTGACGAAACACGATTTTTACTACTCAAAATGAAAAAGCCATTGCAATGTAGTTACTACTACTAGTAAGAATTTGTAATAATTTCAATTCCGTTTTTAATTCAAGTAATAATGTAACAAAGTAAAGTAAAACTTGATACTCATATTATGTAAATTTTACACTTACTGTACATGTCTGGCCAAATTGGATTTATACTACTTAAAACCATTACAAAATACCCGGGTTGTTTGGATCAAGCTATTATTCAGCTAATTATCTTTATAATGTAATACTTTTCTACTATAATTAGTGTGAAAAACTAGTTACATGGTATGGCTGACGAAACACGATTTTTACTACTCAAAATGAAAAAGCCATTGCAATGTAGTTACTACTACTAGTAAGAATTTGTAATAATTTCAATTCCGTTTTTAATTCAAGTAATAATGTAACAAAGTAAAGTAAAACTTGATACTCATATTATGTAAATTTTACACTTACTGTACATGTCTGGCCAAATTGGATTTATACTACTTAAAACCATTACAAAATACCCGGGTTGTTTGGATCAAGCTATTATTCAGCTAATTATCTTTATAATGTAATACTTTTCTACTATAATTAGTGTGAAAAACTAGTTACATGGTATGGCTGACGAAACACGATTTTTACTACTCAAAATGAAAAAGCCATTGCAATGTAGTTACTACTACTAGTAAGAATTTGTAATAATTTCAATTCCGTTTTTAATTCAAGTAATAATGTAACAAAGTAAAGTAAAACTTGATACTCATATTATGTAAATTTTACACTTACTGTACATGTCTGGCCAAATTGGATTTATACTACTTAAAACCATTACAAAATACCCGGGTTGTTTGGATCAAGCTATTATTCAGCTAATTATCTTTATAATGTAATACTTTTCTACTATAATTAGTGTGAAAAACTAGTTACATGGTATGGCTGACGAAACACGATTTTTACTACTCAAAATGAAAAAGCCATTGCAATGTAGTTACTACTACTAGTAAGAATTTGTAATAATTTCAATTCCGTTTTTAATTCAAGTAATAATGTAACAAAGTAAAGTAAAACTTGATACTCATATTATGTAAATTTTACACTTACTGTACATGTCTGGCCAAATTGGATTTATACTACTTAAAACCATTACAAAATACCCGGGTTGTTTGGATCAAGCTATTATTCAGCTAATTATCTTTATAATGTAATACTTTTCTACTATAATTAGTGTGAAAAACTAGTTACATGGTATGGCTGACGAAACACGATTTTTACTACTCAAAATGAAAAAGCCATTGCAATGTAGTTACTACTACTAGTAAGAATTTGTAATAATTTCAATTCCGTTTTTAATTCAAGTAATAATGTAACAAAGTAAAGTAAAACTTGATACTCATATTATGTAAATTTTACACTTACTGTACATGTCTGGCCAAATTGGATTTATACTACTTAAAACCATTACAAAATACCCGGGTTGTTTGGATCAAGCTATTATTCAGCTAATTATCTTTATAATGTAATACTTTTCTACTATAATTAGTGTGAAAAACTAGTTACATGGTATGGCTGACGAAACACGATTTTTACTACTCAAAATGAAAAAGCCATTGCAATGTAGTTACTACTACTAGTAAGAAATTGTAATAATTTCAATTCCGTTTTTAATTCAAGTAATAATGTAACAAAGTAAAGTAAAACTTGATACTCATATTATGTAAATTTTACACTTACTGTACATGTCTGGCCAAATTGGATTTATACTACTTAAAACCAAGACCCACGCGTAAGCGGACTCAGTCCTCCATAAGAGAGGAAAAAAAATTATAAGAGACTCTTTGTGTGACTCAGCTTCTTTT